TGAATAAGTTTTTTTTTATTCATATATATACATTATTTTCATATCTCAGTCAGACAGAGGTGCCTGGTATGAGAGATTATGAAAAACAGTTTTCATATTTTATATATACATTTTATTCGACTATTTCATTAATATAATATCTATATTAATTAATATATATTATAATTATCTAATATCTTTATATATAACTCTTCAGTCTTCTTTGTCTTTAATTTCCTTATAGTATTTCTTTATTTTTCTTTTAAATTTATCGCCCATCATTGGTCATCTTAATTAAGTTGATCACGAAAATGTATAGAGAAATAAAATACATTATTAGGAGTGTGCGGATCAAAAAGAATATGAGATATGTATATTAATAGTATTAATACGCTATAGTGTAGTACAAGTTTATGAATTTCATACAAATAATAACTGTTTTCACAAATCAAGGTTCTTTATATCAATACTGATATGAACACTTATATTATTTTGTATGTATAAACAACCGTTTGTTTTACCAAAAAACAGTTAATAAGCATACTCTTCGACGCAATTTTTTTTAAGAAATAACGGCATAACAGCATTCTAAAATTTGCAAGTATTTTTAATTTTTTTTTTAAATATTATTATAAATTCATTTAAATATTATTATCACGTATGCAATCATATATTATTATGGATTGAATTGTTTTTCGTGTATAAAATCATCAAATTATTTTTTTCGAAAAATGGATCTATTGTTGGGAACCCATCACATAATCGCAAGGCAAACAATATGGGTACACCCCAATTTACGCGGTATTTAAATACGAATATGGATCCAAAAATGAACGATCTGTTATTAGAATTAGAAAATGTATGAGTTATGGAATAGCCAAATTAACTAAACAAAGTACAACTTTTACTTGAATATTGTATGTACTAATGATTATGTAATATAATGTGCTAATATTTTTTACTGAAATGCTAAAATTAAAATATCGGTTCAAAAAACGGTTCTCGTATTTGTTACGGTTTGTTTCGAGTTCCAGTTCAGCAAAAAAATCCGGGTTACGATTCGCAAAAAATTCCGGTTTGTATTCCGGTTTGCGTTCGGCGCAAACCCTGGTTTATACATAACAATTCACATATAAAAATTCGTCAAAAATTAGAATAAAAGCATTTTTAAAAATGTATTTTTTTCAATATCTCAGCCAATTTTTTATAAATCATTTTTAGTTCCGGAACGCGATCCGGTCACTGCATATAATCAGTAATAATTAATTATTAACTTCCCGTAGGGTAAGTTATAGTAATCGCAAAAAAATGAAAATTTGTATATATCTTTACGTTTCAGAGGTTTCTGAATATTTTGGCATACCTTAGAAAAAATGGATGTATGTGTGTGTGCATGTGCGTGTGTGTATGTGTGTTCGGATAAAAAATTGTCGTCGACGATTTCGGGAACACGGATGAAGCGATTTGAATCTAGCCGTTCCGAAGATATGGGGCAAAAAGTGCCAAAAACGGTAACTCAGTTTTTAAGAGAACGGAGCGTCCGATTTGAATAATTCAAAAAAATTTTACTTCTACTAACAAGAAGAACTGATCAAATTTTCATGTACAGCAATTTGCCTTAAGGCACGATGCCATGCGTCCCACTAGTATTCAATATTTTTAACTAATTTCATAATTGATGCACAATTCATATTAGTCAAAAAATTGTTGCACATTACGGTGCTTTTTTATAAAAGAGTGAGTATATATGTAAAATATGGTAATGTTTCTGTGTGAACAAAGATTAATGTGTACTTTATTTTAATCACATCAAAAAGATGTTCATAAACTTTATTAATTTTACACAGATGAAATATCTTTTACAGGGTAATTTCAAATCTTGTTTTCTGAAAAACTTTCATGCCTAAATAAAATAGTATGGTCATTATAATATTTATTAATATGAATTGTTTCACTAATTGAAACATTCCACATGAATAGGCATAAAAACATAATTAATTGCGTATTGGTTAGGTGTATGTTAAATAATCATCAGATTATGCTTTTATAAAACCGTAATAGGGGTATAAAATATCCCCTTCTCGATGTCGCCCTAAGCCCTGCGCCGCCCCGTACCGCCCTGCTAAATGCACTTTTGTAATCCAGTCGCACTTGTCCGCAGATACAAGTCACAATGCACGCCGCGATACCCTGATGTACTCGCGATTTGCGCTTCTACCCCTCGATAAATATTTGCTACGCACGGCTTGCTTCTGACCTGCGTTTCTGAACAAGACCGATGTAATTGAAAAATAGTAGTAGAATATTTAGTAAAGTATTTTAGAAAATTAGTAGTACAAATTGATAAAAAACTAATGGTGCATGGCATCGTGTCTTAAGACAAATTGCTGGAACTACCCGTACCAGAATTTAATATTCGAGAAAAAAACAGTAATAAACTAGTGGGGCGCATGGCATCGTGTCTTAAGGCAAATTGCTGGTACTTTCCGTACCATTTTTTTTTTTTTAAATTAACATTTTTGTAAAAAAATTATTCTGAATAATTAGATTTTTGAAAAACTATAAATTTTTGACAAAAATTTACTTTTTTTTGAAAAAAAGACTTTTTGAAGAAAAGTGTATTTTGAAATATTTTGGAAATTCTGAACTTTTTTTCAAACAAACGTACTGCTTTAACTGCATAGAGACGAAATATCAAAACGCGTAAGCGCCGCGCCGCCGTCTAACAGATAAGCATTGGTACGGAACCCATAGGAATGTAAACAAAATTTATACTTATTGTTAAAATCTCTATAAAATATCTGATAATTTGATGTGCATATGTCTAATGATCATTTTTGACCGCCAGATAGCATTTTTTTTACTTTTTTTTACTAGATCTCCGAAACCGCTAGACCTGCCTTCATAAAAAATTAATCAGTTTTTCATCTTGTTAATGCAAGTAATATGTTTTTTGAATTATTCAAATCAGACGCTCCGTTCTCTTAAAAACGAGTTACCGTTTTTGGCACTTTTTGCCCCATATCTTCGGAACGGCTAGACCTGCCTTCGCCAAAAACTAATCAGCACATCTCCTTATCAATACGAATCGAATGTTTTTAAAATTATTCAAATCGCTTCATCCATGTTCCCGAAATCGTCGACGAAAATTTGTATCCGAACACACATACACACACGCACACATACACACACACATACATCCGTTTTTTCTAAGGTTTGCCAAAATATTCAGAAACCTCTGAAACGTAAAGATATACATATAAACATTTTCATTTTCGATTTTTTTGCGATTACTATAACGTACCCTACGGGAAGTTAATAAATGTTGATCAATGATCAATAACAATTGTTTTAAACATTTTCATCGTTCATAAAATATACAGTGACGATCTTATCGCTCAAAACACTTGAGAAAGTTTACATTAACAAGAGGTGCCGAATAAATCCATCTGAGGATATATTTCCTAAGATTAAACTAACTTTGAAACTTTGAAATATATACATTTTGAAACTGTTTTTTTTTATTTGGCCTCTCTTACTCTGAGCATTTAGCCACCTACAACAATTTTATTCATTTACATTCTAATTTTTATATTATTTTCAATTTATATATGTATCCTATTCTAATTGCAAAATTTATATTTAAAGTATAAAACTTGGTATATTTTTGAAATGTTTGAAAACCAATTTTTTCTGTAAATTTTGAAATTTGCTTGAACCGTATAGTAAAGTTTTTCTAAGGTATGCCAAATGTACAGAAACTTTTAAA